TCTCCTCCTTGTTCCACTGTTTCTACCAGACCAGTTTAAACAAATCTGCGTGAGACCTCCTAACAGCTTGGAAGAGCAATGGAACAAGAGCCCTCCCAAAGTAAGCTGCAGGAGGGGCCACCTACCAACCTGGTCATATAAGACATGAAGGGAATCCTAGGTGACTGATATATGTGAGTCAAGAGGCCAAACATATGATGGCTTTGGAAACATCAGGATGGCTGGAGAGGTGAAGACAGAGGCAGAAGGTGATGGAAGATGAAACTAGGGTGTCTATAAATTAGTTGCATTCATTCATTCATTTATTCAACTGCTCATTCAGCATATATTTATTGGGTACACCATCCAGCACTAGCCAATCACGGAGGATACAGCCCTGAACAAGAAATACTTCCTCTTGCGATACCTGTCAGGAAGCACTTGGAAAGTGAGAAGAATTCAGTGCAAACACATCACTCAGTCTTGGGAGTCGTGGAAGGTTTCAAAGAGGAGAAATCTAAAACTTGATGTAGATGGATTAGACAGATGAAAGCCTGGTGAGGGTGGGAATAAGCAAAGAGCACACACAAAGGGAGAAGGAGTAGTGAACATGCCCAGCATATGCCAGTGTGTCACAGGCAAGAAAACCAGCCAGTCTCAGGCCACAGCATCTGAGCCTCTGAAGATAACTTCAAATCACTCAGTATTGGGTTGAAACATATGAAACTGTCATTTTTCTAGGTCAAAAATGGTCGAATATCAGCAATGTCACATGGTTCAACCTGATACTTCTCTGCATGATATTGACCATTTCTTCTGCTAAATTGGGTTCTTTCTAGAAAAAAAAAGCAATGGCATTGGAAGTGCAGAAAACAAGTACAGCTGGAGCATGGCAGTGACGGGTGAGGACAGGTCACTCAAGGACACACAGAGGCCACAGAGAAGAACTCTGTGAGCCGCAGCAAGTCATTTAGGCTCTAACCTTAGAATGAACAGCCACGTGAAATAACCGGAGTGATATTTTTAAGACGTTCACTCAAGACTACCTGGAGAACACAGTGAAAGGACACCAGTAGAAGCAGGAAAGGCAAAAAAGCCACTATTGTGGTCATTCGGTGGCAGAAGAAGGGCCTGCACTCGTGTAGTGAAAGTGCGTGGCTTGAGGGATGCCAATGAGGCTGAAGTGACAGGACTGGGAACTGCATGGGAGCCACGTGGGTGATAGGCCGTGCACAGCAGAGGGAGTCGTGTGCAGCGGGAGAGGATGAGTTCTGGGCATGACTGTTGTGACATTATGATGCATCCATGTTGGTTTTTATCCTGAGTTCCCAGCTCATAACTCCATAGCCCTTGTTATTTCTCCCCAAGGGAAGCCACAGACACGAAAAATAATATGCTCTCAGCTCCCCCTGCCTTTCTGTCTTGGGGCTAGCCACAAAGCTCTGACCTGCTTTGTCTGACCCACGTGTCAGAAGGAATCCTGCCCCACACTCTGGAGAAAGGAATGCTACTCGGAAAGGCCAAGAAGAATATGAACAGACAGGCCTTGCTGTATGTGATTGTACGCATTTTGTCCAGTCGCATTTCTACAGGGTTGTCTGTGCTTCAATCTTGCCTATCCAGTGAAGTCCAAAGGCCCAAGAGGACAAAGTATGGAGAACTTCCAGAGAGCTGAACACATGGCAGTTCCTGGGGGGGAAAGTGTTAGGGAGGGCATGGAAGTGCCACGTCCCTTCCCCTATACCTCAGCCTATGTTGGGAGCCGGCCACGGAGGCCCACTGAGCGTTAGGGATCAGGCAGGGCCGTTGACCCCGAGACCACTAGGATGTGTTCGGAAGCTGTTGACCCCATTCCCTCCCTCCTTTTCCACTTGGCACAAGCAACCAGAAAAGGCTCCAGCTGGCTCTAACAGAGGACTCTGAAACCGGAACGAACACAGCTAACTTGGGAGTCTATTGTTCCCATTTTCCACGGTTTATGCTTTTTGCTTTTAAACAATTTAAGTTTAACTTTGAGTCACATTGAGGAGCCTTAGTGCAAGTCATAGGTTCTCTTGATGTGATTTTAGAAATGTACAGATATAGGTTTTAGAATATAGTTTATATAGATTAAGAAAATTTAAGTAACCATTTTGTTATAGAAGTGGGGCTAGTTCAGTTTGATTCAGGGGGGTCAGTGAAGTTTGAATTAGGTTGGCTGGTATTAGGAGAGTGTAACTATAGCAGCAACTGTTTCATAGAAACTAGTTTGAATTAGCACAGAATAGTAAGTGGTAATATATCATTATGTTGGTTTCGGGTGTAAGCACTGAACGATGTTATGTAGCTATAAACAATTAAGGGTACATAGAAACTGGATAAGAACTTCATGTTTTTCTTCATGTTTGAAAAATACATCTGCTTGAGAGTGGGGGGGTGTCCTGTGTGCACCTGGACCTGGTCATGTGAAAGGCACATGCTACCTTTTGTGTAACCATAGCAGCAGGAGTTCCTGTGATAATAACTTTGCAGAGTTTGGGGATAAAAGCCCTGGGATTACACCCATTAAACGGCTTCTGCACTAGACAGGAGTCCAGTCTCTTTCTTTCTCCCCCCCTTTCTTTCTCTTTATATCTATCCCTCCAGTTTAAATCTCTGGCACTGTCACACCACCAGAGACCCCCAATCCCTGCAGGGGCAGGACCTTCACAACCCTAGATACCTCTTCATCTGTGTCCTTTGTAATATCCTTTATTTAAAAAAAAAAAAAAAACTGTACATGTAATAAGTGTTTCCCTGAGTTCTGCAAGCCACTCTAACAAATTAATCAAAACCAAGGGTGGGAGGTGAGAGCCCTAACTTATAGCCAATCAGTCAGAAGCACAGGCAAAACAGCTCAAAGACTGCAGTTGGCACTGGAAGTTGGGTGAGGTCATGTAGGACTGAGCCTTCAGGTTGTGGGATCTGACGTGATCTCGAAGTGGGTAGTGTCAGAATGGAAGGGGAGGATACCCGGCAGGTGCAAGATGATTGCTTACTTGTTAGTGGGGAGAAATTTCCACACATTTGGTGACAGAATCTTCTGCATCAATTGTCGTGTTGTGTGACAGCAGAGAGAAACAGTTTATTTTATTTCTGTTTTCACTCAGAACTGTCCATCTAGTTTGATTATACGGAGAAAGAGGTGAAGGAAACAAGTGTCTGCCTACTGCCAATCACGTGAGTGCTTCACATATAGCATTTCAGTAAATTTACACACCAGCCCCAGAAGGTAGGTATCCTTCCCCATTTTATGGCTAAATAAAAAAGTTAAAGTGAGCATTTACCTCAGGTTAGGTAGTTTATAAGTGCTCCGGAGAGCTGCAATGCAACTGGCATCCATCAATACCATGTGCCTATGGCTACAACTTGCTGTCCAATAGCCTAACCTCATTTCTAGTGTGTGTGGTGCTTAGGGCTAGAATAATGGCAGCTGGAGTTGAGATCAAGAGGCCTGACGCCCGCCTCAGAACACAGGAGGAAGAGCAAGGCTGGATTCAGAGCAGAGCACTTGACCCGGATGCTCTCTTTCTTATTCCACCTCTGCTGACCATCTTCCTCATAGCTTTTCCCCAAGGCTGGGGGAATGGGAGGTGGGGGTGGGAAGGGCAAAGAGGGCCAGAAGATCAGTCCTTGGGTTAAAGGTTTCGTTTTGCAAGATTCAGCAAGGCAGGCCCTTTCCACATTTCTTAAGAAAGAAGCAGCAGCCGGGCTTGGTGGCTCAACCTGTCATCCCACGCCTTGGGAGGCCGAGGTGAGTGGATTGCCTGAGCCCGCGGGTTCGAGACCCG